TCAAATAAATAATTTGAGTATTGTTCTAATTTTTATTTAGATTATAGATTAATGAATTTGTCGTGTGAATACTATATTTTATGAAACAATAAAAAATTCTTGATCTCTAATTAATTAATGGAACCGAGCCGACTTTTTCTATAATAGAAGTGATATCATCGTATCATTGTGTCAGTTTTGTATTTACTGGAACTGAGGACATAAAGTATATTAATTTAGGCGTGGTTCGCGATTGTTTGGCCGACTACAGTGTGACCTAAAAATATATATGCAGTGCAGACAGGCTTACAAATTATTAGAAGAACGATACCGAGTAATTGAACTTATATTTTATTGCATACATTCTTTTTATCATTTTTATATTTTTGATTACGATCTACATTGTAATTCAAAGTCATCTTTATTCGAATAGACTTGTTTACAAGCACCTTTAAATTGTAATTTTTTTATGAATGCATGGTTCGGGTTTTTTTATCTATCTATATGTTAAATCGTGACAAACAAAGAAAAGTAGTAAAAACTCACTACTTTTCTATTATATCTGTATATCTATTTATATTGTTTATTTTAGCTATTTTCATAGCATTATGGCTTATGGTATTTTACTGTGGGGTAAAACACAGATATACACACTATATCAGTATTAGAAAAAAGAGTCGTACGTTCCATTTATAATATAGATTTAAGAGAATCTATACAAGAATGTTTTAATATGTCAAATATTGTTACCTCTCAATACATTACAAAAACATAATTTATATAAAGAAAAACCTAATATCTTTTACCGAAGTAAGTGATCATAATAATAAAAACATACGCCATAAGGACAAATTTCTGTTGGCACTGCGTCGACTGAAAAAGATCGGTAATTCATTCTTAGAAAAATGTGTAGGATTTTATAATAAATTGCCAAAATACATCAACAACAGAATACATAATATATCTGTTGTTGATAATTTCATAATCTAGTACATATTTACAAACAATACTCTAGCCATGATCAAATTTTCAGAGCGCTTGATGTATGCACTTGACGGCTTCATTAATAGAATGTATTAAACATATTTACTACATTTATCTAAGGACAAATCCAGCAAATGGTCACTAAACAAATGTATAAACATTCCCGCCAATTTTTTTATAGATTAACAGGCTAATTTCGATCTGTAATATAGTCATATTACTTAATCTTGAATCAGTAATGCCAAAAATCATGCACTACTATAGGCAACATAGTTTATTTTTTTTATGCGACTATTGCAACTAATCAAATATCTTTAAAAATATGGTCACTGCTACTAGCGCCTTAAGCCTAATTGGCAAAACCTATTCTGGATCTACCCGAAAGATGTTTTAATGCTGTTATAAAAAAGATTTTTTTCTGGAAAATCCTATTACAGGATAGACGAATATATTAATGATAAAAATACTTGGCAGAAAAAAGCACAAACTGAATTTCTATGAGTTCAAAGTTGCTGACATTGTTTATTTTTAAAATGTATTTTTAATAGTAATATTTTTTAAAGCTTTGGTCATTTTACTAATTTATTTACTAACTTTTTAAAAACGACATAAGTTTATCAAATTCATTAAATAAATATCATTTAATTTTATAATGAGTGGATATACTGATTGTAACATTCAATTTGGTATCGACATTATTGATATAATTGCGGATCTTTAAACAAGAAATGCTCACTTTAACGTCCTTCAGATAGGGGGAGGCGTGGAGTTGGGTCATTCAGCACCCTATAATATTGTTAAACACAACAATGTTTGGCTCATCTGTCAAACTCGTGAACGAACGATTCCAGTAGAGATTGGTCTGTACAAGAATGCTGCGATTGATTGTAGTTTTGCAGCTTTTTAGTTTCTATCATTAGTGGAGTTATATTTTAATTCTATTAAAAATTGCACTTAAATATCTTAACAAATCTTCATATTTTTTTATGCAACTTAGAATAGCAAAATAGCTGATATGAGCAGTACCATGGACATAACAGAGTATACTGTTTCGCCCATAACACCCCTCATACGTCGCCATTCCTAAGGACTCAGGTGTTATTCCTCTGTACCCTGTAAATTCACTACTATATCCAACACTTCGAACCAAAACACAGCCATGCAAACAGAACTGCTTCACAGTAGAAACACGAATAGGACAAAGGTGTTCAAGCAAACGACTTTTGTATAAAGTTTCCCTCTGGTAAAAATATTTAGAAATATGAGCATAGTATACCTATTACTAAATCTCGTAATTGTGTTAAATTGTCGTAATAAAGGTCAAAGGTAAAGAACAATTTATATTTGAAGTTGTAGTTTATTGTTCCGGTAAATTAATCCCCTATTTAGAAAATAGAGTTACAAGAGGATGCTTTTATGTTTAGAAAGTTATTAAGCAAGATAAACTAGAAATTATCTAAAATTGAAAGCGAACATGTTTCTTTGTTACCAAAATTTAGTTATTCTTTGTTAACCTACAGTAAGTTTAAGGCTTTGTCTTCAAACAAGATGTGAAAGTAGCATTTTTTAACAAACAAGTACCGCAAATTCCACTATACAAAGTACGCTAAACACGGAACTAAAAAGGTTTTGATTGAAAATTCAAACATTATCAAGTATCTTGTGTACTGACAACCGTTACAAAGGTATTGTTAACATTGGCCCTACAGCTTACTAACCCGTATGTAGATACACTGAGATGGGCTGTATAGAATAATCATTTTTACAAGCTTTTATTTCCCTTTAAATACACACTATTAAACTAAACAGACATTTGAAAATATTTCATAAAAAAATTTAACATTAATTTTATCCTTTATTTAATTATTTTTTCATTGTGAAATGCAAGTGCGTTTTTACGTTTAATTGTCAAATATAATTTATTTATTTATAGGATCATTAAGATAAGATACAGCGAAGCATTTCAATACAATACACTGGTAGATTAGATCTAACTCTTCTTACATTTATAGGCAACCAGAGCATGCTTTGTGTTAGATACATAATTATTAATAAAAGTTATTAAGTCAACAACGACATCTGAGTTTGATTACATTTTCATCTGATGTTAACCCTTAACCTAGGTGGTTAACCTTAGCACACATCTTACAGACCCCGATGAATTTTTAGACGTGAATATTTTTACGTACGGGTTTTGCATAAACGTTTTCGTTTTTGCACCTTTACCTCACATCCCTCGGTGCTGTGTAACCGCTTGTCGTAGTAGTACATAAACGCGTTTATGTCTGGTAAGTAAAAAAACTGTAGCCAGGGACCTTTATTAGGTTTAGTTGCTTACGGCTTTAAATGAGAAAAACATCCAGCGGTAGTTCGAACAAGATCAATCTGACAGCGAAAATATACTAAACAATAAATGCATTAATGATGCAGCTTGATATTCCTACCTCAAATTGTTGTCTTGAAATTGTCTATCCAGTCTTAAGATCAAATTATTAAAAGCAGATTTGAATTTATGAAGCATCTAGTTAAACAACTAACTAAACCGCAAATGGAACGTCGTTCAAATAAGTTAAAAGTGCAACGCGATAACAGAATGGCTACTCGATGCATCCTCCGGCATAACAAGGGAACTACTGATGGAGTAACCATCAGCAGTTCCATCTTGTTGTAACGCTAATTAAAGTTTAGCAGTCCATAAGAATTTTATAATATTAACATATTTATAATGTTAGTAATGATTTTATTTATACTGCACCTATCAGGTGTTTATGAAATATATTATAATGCAAATTAATGATTTTGGATTATAATTATATAATACTGCAGCCAGGAAAGTTTAAAAAATCATTCTTTTACACGACAAAATTTTAAATAAATGACTAGCTTCAGTTTGTAGACTAAACTACAATAAAATATGCATTATTAAATCGCGACAGTAAAAGGCAAAATGTGATCTGGACTTTTATTTCGATAATATTACATGAAATTTTCATTCTTTCTTCTTTCTTTATTTAAAAACAAATTCTATGTTTTCGCTTTTGTAAAACTTGATATTTTGCATTTGATAAATATTTTTTTTTTTATTTAATTTTTTTTCTTTTTGTTAGTATTAGTCAATTAATTGAAAAAATAACTTATATCTTATAAGTTATTGTGTTAGGTTTCGTTAGGTGCTTATACTAATAAAACCACTCAGTGAATATATACGTTTACTTATTTAGTTCTTTATTTAGAGTTTTCAAAATATCACGCCATTGTTTTATGCCTACTCGTAATTGCTATTAAATTATCATTCTAATTATTTGTCCTTGTGGTCACCATGTATTAGTGTAAACTGTATTTTCTATCTATACTTATATGTACTTGCAAAAAGTTGCGTCAATATTTACGGTGGACTGACATTAGGATTACTTAATAACGAAAACGAAAGAATTTTAATGAGAAATCGTTATATCGTTTAAAATAAGCGAGTCATGTACTCAACAAAGAAGCGATATTAAACGGACTGCCCACTAAAGTTGGAAATTATCCTTTAAAAAACAAGGCAAAAAGGAAACGATCGTTATACCGAGAGGAAACTTTTTCAATATCAGCCCGACAACAATAGAGTTTCTTTTTTATTCTCGCGTCCAAGGGAATAAATTCCGTATCAAATTTCTCCCAGGATGGTCGTAGCGATATATCTCCCGAGATTAAACGGAGAATTTAAATTAGAAATGAATCGGACACGAGTGTGTATCGAGTATGTGAGTGTGTTATCGGACAAAAACTAGGATGCACTTTTCACATTTATTTGAACGCACGCATCATAATTATACGCAGACTGTCGGTGTCAGTACGGAAATACACTGTGTACGTCCCATATTCTGAACTCATCTCGACCGTTTTTGAATTTGGACGAAATGTTATCGTGTGATGTGAGGGCGAAAGTCGCTTTTCGTAGTGTATGAACGCCGCTTTGGAAGGGCGGCCGTCGCGTAAGCTACAGACCACGTGCACCTCGATAACTTGCGCTTAGTTCTTCACGAACTGTGTGGGAGGTTAGTCCGCTACATGAATATAATGTTTCGTCAATGTCATGCGCTCTGAGCTTCGCATAGCGAGAAAACGTATTCGGCTCGTGCCGTTGAGTGATTTACGCGCATTACCACGTGATTTTGACAGTCGAAACGATATTGCCCGTCCGTTGTGTACAAGTGACAGTGGCGAGCCCTATCGAAAGTGTTTTTGATAACGATACGCCTGGCTTATTTTGAAGTGATGCTGTAACATCAAAGAGGTGACACCAGGATGATTATAAAATCATACTTGGCGCAATTTCCGCCGGCTATGGAGTATTTTCGGTGAGTTGTTAATGAGTTTTTTGATTGAGTATCTCGAATTCATTTAATTCGCTCCCTTCAAAGTTTTCTAAGTTTGTAAGTAAAATATTTATTTCTATTTGTTTTAAACCAAATAAAGGTAATGTACCTATTTGATCTCAACAGGTATGATATAATGTTTACGTAAATTTGTTTGACAATATAATTTTATTTGACTTTCTTAATTTTTCTCTATTTAATTTTCTAAATGCTGAGTAAATTCTGATGATATATATATATTAATTATTAATCATATTTTTAGTGAAATAATATTTTTATTATTATATCTTATTTTATTGTGTGAAGTATAAAACGATTTAATATATACCTACTTTACATTATCAGAATGTATGACATGAACATAGGTAATTGACTTTTACATAAATAATAGCTCGAGATATTATTATGACATATCTCTTAGCATAATGTACATACAATATAAACATACATGGCCTATATAAGGCTATATTATGTACCTTTGTTTGAGTGTATTCCGCAATTCATTATTTATGTATAAAGTACAGTCGTGTACTGTCACAAACTTTCATATAAAATGTTTTTTTATTAAAAAATATTTATTAAGTATTTCTTGTATAATTAATGGATTTTAGTGCTTTGCATACTATAGCTTTTCTTTTGCCACAATAAAAAACGAAATAAAAAATAAGAGAACTAACAAACTCTACATAGATGGCGCCACGTGCTACTTATCATATAAAATTATTTTAGAAAGTTATTTAACTGAAAGGATAATTATATTACATTTTGAATATTATAAACGTAATACTGCCTTTATTTTATGGATAAAATGATGGTTCTTTTTGATGTTTTCACTCATTCAAATTTAATTATGGTCAAAGATGTTTGTGGGTGACAGTACCCTATGTATTAGGTGCCTAGTGCGCATGCTCGTTACTATGTCAACAAACGAACTATAAGCGCTTAGTTGAGCGGCTTTGTAGTTCCGGACTTATAATGTATGCGTGGATTTAATGTCCCCGTAGAATTTAATGTTATCAAGGTATTTAGAACATTGTCCTGTGACATTATAGTTCACTGTTATATATCAAATTTGTTTAATGTTGTATTAGTCGCGATTTAAATTTCTAATTAAAATTATAAAGGTGAAAATGAAATTTTTCTTTCTGTTTTTTCTTCACATTTTGAAATTTGGCGATTACACTATATATATATATATAGCTTTGCTATAATAATATAGCTTTGCCTATGTTTCTCTTTCAGCATCTCAAATATAGCTCTTATTCATAAAAACGTCAAGCGTCTCATAATCCTATTTTAGCTATTGAACTGTTTTGTCTCTTTCTTTTATGCTACATTCCCAATTTGAAAGAAAGTGACAAAATAGTTCAACAGCTAAAATAAGTTTATAGTAGGTTTTAGTTTTTATGAATATGGGGGTCCTTTTTAATTGATGATAATGGAATGGTAACCTTGCCGGCGCTATCAGTATATACTGGTGGAGCACCAGTGAGGGATGATAGGTAATCTAATTTAAACTATTAACACATCGTGATGAATACTTTTATACCACTGAGGTGGCAAACAAGCATATGGCCCACCTGATGGTAAGTGGTTACCGTAGCCTATGAACACCTGCAATACCAGAGGCATTACGCGTGCGTTGCTGACCCTGAAGACACCTGAATACACCTGGATTTCAACACAATGGTTTTCAGGGGAAACCGCGCGGAGCCTAACTTGACAGGGTATTGTTAAAATGGTACTAGTAGTCCACACACTAACAATCCATTGCCCTCTGAATAAATGGAAAAGTATATATAATGATCTGTGTCAATAGAACTTAATAAAAATGTAAACAAATAAATAATTGACTCGACAATAAAAGTCTGTTGATGTCCAACAGTAGTACAATTGTTTTTAATGAAACTTAAGCGAATGCATCTTTTTATATGCTACTTTTTTATCTGATTCAGTAAATGCAAATTTCAAATAAATGGTAAAAATAATGACGCGATGTCATTTATATGTAATAATTATATTATTTATAATGTTTATTACATAAATTATATATTCTCTTAAAGTAAATCTTAATATGTCTCGAATAGGCGTTCTACACGTATAACACAGAAAACGTGGTCAAATTAATATATGTCTATATTTTCGAAGTCGATTGATAAATAAAGCTGATAATAATTACCTATACAGCATTTTTTTTTATTTTTAAATTATTTAGGAATATGTTTTACAATAAAAATAGACTTCGATTATGGCAAGACCAGTTATTTTGATTTTGAAACTAAACTTCTTAACCAATTTTGATAAAATTCATACGAAACCAATCTGTAAATATATCCTCTCTTAAATAAAAAAAAACCCAAGTCAGTTTACAACTGATGGAGTTATGAGGTAATAAACATAAAAAATACAACCGAATTAAGAATCTCCTTCTTTTTGAAGTCGGTTGATAAAAAATCAGCTACAGGTATTTTTATTTGCAAACTTTTGTTAAAAGAAATATCTAACAGTTTTATATCTTCTTTATTGCTAGTTTAACATGTTTTCCGTCAACTTTTAATGAAACCGGCAAAATTTAAAAATTACGTAGGTGTGAGACATTGACCTTTCTATTAGATTAATCACTTAAGGATGTGATACTAATACATAGTAACGTCATTATATCCATTTTATCATAATTATAGGCATCAAGAGCTAAATAAACAATACAGTTTTTCGACTGATTTTAAAACGCGCAGGTTTTGTATTTTTTTTTTCTCCAGTTATTATTATCTATTGATATTTCTTTTTTTTAGCAAAAGTTTAATTTAGTCCTCAGGAAGAAAAACGTATGCGGGGTATCATGGGCAACACAGTATACTTTGTTGTACACGTGATACTGTTCATGTCTATAGATGACCACATTCCATCATGTGGGTCGTAACTTTGTTTGCCGTTCAAAGTTGTATAAAAAATCCAAAGTTTTTTTTTTTTAAATTGTAATTAATTGCTTTGTATATATTTTAGTATTATTATTATTAATAAATTAATGTATGTTAATAATTAAAGTAAAATAAAAATAGGTACACATAAATTGCATATGCAATTCGACAGTACTTCACAAATATTGTATGCAAAAGCTGAATGCAGTCATAATGAGTTCAAGAAATTGTCGTACATGCATACACACCTTATATACATACGCACATCGCCGGACTGTCTGATGCATTACAAGAATTTTGATGCAACTACGTCTCAGTCAATGCCTTCCGAGTTACAATCGAGTATGAAGTGAGTTTTTTTAGTTATCAAATTTTATCAATTGAGACTATTAACTGTATAAAGTCGATTCTAAATGTTAATTAAAAAATTGTCATAATGCGAGTCAGCCTCTTATACTGAGAGTTCCGTACCGATGCAAGTTCAATAAAAAATTTCTAATTGAAATATATTATATAAATAATTTACGTATATATATATATATATAGGTATCCTATAAGGAGTAGAATTAAAGAAAATATTTAATTATATTAATATCTCTATTATTATTAAATTATAAATTTATACGACGTACGTGGAGGATGGTATCCAAAAAATAGTACAACATACAAACATATATTTTTTATTTTTTAAGATACGGAACTCTAAAATCATATTGTATGATGTTTGCAGAGTATAATAATGTGTGATGTATGATTGATGATGATTTAAAAAGGTACTAGTGATACATTCTATTGTACCTTGTCTCTATAGTTTGTTAGACGTTGTTTATTAATTTTTCAATACCTATATCATGTTTAAGTATCTGTCTACAAATATAAATTGACATTTATTGACTGCTCTTTCTGTTTGAATGGTATTTGTTTTACTGATTTACGTACCTTGTGATAGTTTAAAATAATATGTAAATAAAGTTCACGGATCACTAGAATTTTGTGCAATGACTCTGCTACCTATTTACGTCGTAAAACAATAATGTGTGAATCATTGTTTGAGTTATACGGTAAACTATTATATTATCTTCTCGAAACGTTAAATAAACCGCATAAGATTTTTCTTAATCAGCTTTGTAATGTGATTTAAAATGTAAAAAAAAGAAAAAAAAATCTTTTATTTAATATTATATTAAATTTTAATTAATGTATTTTTATCATGATTATATACTTATTTATTTGATTGCGACTCTCACTACAAGACTGAAATATCGGCATATTCAATTAATAACAATAATAAACCAATTGTGGTGAGAACACATTATTTTGTATATTATTACTTTTTAAAAATCTCTTATGTAGAAGATAAGAATGTCTGGGAAATATCTGATATAGATAAGAGGAAATTACCTTACTACTTAAATATGACAACGCGAACAAAGTCGTGCGGAGTCTATTCTATAATTATATCTGTATAAGTTACTTTAATACTAATAAAATTCTCGAATATTTAGACTTACTTAGCTTAGTGTTCAGGCTGAAAGTGCGCAATTGACAGACTAACACAGTCACCACTATATTTATTAAATATTTATTTAACTTTCATGTACATAATAAAACATGGCGGTTATAACATGTAATGGCATTCTCTATCAGTCAACCATGGTTGTCCCATGGTTAACTACTAGAGAACACCATAGAGATGTTTGTTGCCGGCATAATTATATATCTAGCCATATGGTCTCAGTATAGAACGGGACATCCCTTCCTTTACCATGCGTATTATAAGAGGCGATTAAAGGAATTTAATGGTCAAAGTTGTGCAGCAACGTACCTCTTAAGACATCACCAAATCCTAACTGCGGTTGCCAATTCGCCTGCCAAGCGTGGTAACTACTGGAAACCCCCCTTTATAGGGGAGGCCTACGTTTGGCCGTGAGCTTAACGGCTGATATGTTTGTGTATAACAGATATTTAATTTATCTATTCCATTTTATCTATTATTTGTTATTATTCCTGATTTACTTATTCTCATTTTATCATATTTGTGAGTTGACAGTTTATATAATACCT